GACGCTTCCTCTTCATGTCAATGTATGCATTAAGGCTTTACTCCTCATGAAGTTGCTTTGTGAGCTCCAACACTTTCTTCTCACTTGCATAGAACTGAGCTTCAAAGATGTCCCGTTCTTCCTTGAGTTGAATCCATGACTTCTATAATTCTTCGAGGTCGGTAGGCATGTGCGGATGGAGGATGATGTGAAAAAAGTTTCCTTCGATAACAAGCTCTAAGATCAGTGGTAAAACAGTTGGATATGGCATCATAAGGTTTTGAGTGCGAGATCGCACCCATTTGAGATAGGGCTCCAAATGGATAGAATTATTTTTTCCTAAAGTTTTACTATCAACCTTGTTTACCATTTCCCAAGCACGTGTAAATCTTTGATGATAACCTTGAAGGTCGTTCTCATAGTCAAACATAATACCCTAGATAAGTGCGTCATGAGAGACCATCTCTTTGAGCATAACCAAATTTTCGTAGAGCTAGAGAAGGGTTGTAAGTAATAACTCCCCTAATGCCAAGGAGTGGAACATTAGGGAATTCCCCGCATCGGTCAATGATAGTAACATCTTCCAGAGATCGTGAACACCAATAGATATTTGAATGAGAAAGTGACATCATCCTCTTAGACCACCTTAAACCTTGTTCGTTCTTCAATACTGATTAGGGAAGGTGAGAAATAAACCATCTTGATTGCAGAGGTATGCAACACATAAGAGTCCCTCGCTTCCTCATAGTACGAGTGTGAAGAGAATGCAAAATGTCTCCGAGCCAAGTAGGCACATGGTTAAGAGAAAGAAATATTTTTATGGTGTTCACATCTATTAGTTAGTCTGGGTTAGGGAATAGCACCCAATCGTAGATTAGCAAATCCAAGATTTCCTTGAAAGCTTGAAAACTCATAGCATCCAAAAATAGTCGAGCCTTCTCTAACATAAATTTAGCTACCAAACCCTTGACTCCACTCCTTGTTTCCTAATTAGATACAATGTCTGACCGCTTCAGGTGTAAGGCTGCTGCAATTTCTCCAGGTTATAGATCTTTCTCTAAACCGGTGGAAGGTATTTGATTGAGAACAAACACTCCCAGTAATTGAGAAAACTCCTTTATTGTGGGTATCAACTGATAATTTGGAAAGGTGAAGTAGTGATGTATGGGGTCAAAGAACTGGAATAGAACACTCACCATGTCTTCTTCAAAACCTGAGGTAACCAAACTGAATAGTCGACCATGCCTTTTGACGAACGGAGAACTTTCAAGAATCCTTGAGACTAACTCCTTAAGTTGAGAAGGTATCCTCAAAAAACTGATCCAGATAGTGTTTCTGCAAGCGGAGGCCATAACCTACAAAACAGAACAAAGATAAATCCCAAGATCCTTGAAATGGTTAGTGAAAATGATATGTATAATGATCTCATGATGTTATGATTTTATGTTCGAACAATTAATCATACACAAAAAAACACACAATGCCTTAGGTTTAAGCTTGCATGGAGTTTGCAGGTAAGTACCCTTTTGAAGTTTTAGTTGGCTCAACCTGTCCTAAAAGAAGTAATCGAGTTCTAGGAGCCTTAATATCACTAATCTTTCTCTCAAGCATTATTTCAGCACAAGCATCTAAATTGCGACTGAAATATCCCGAAAGTCCAATCACAATGAGTGTAGTGTCGAGTATCAACCAACTTCAGTCTGCACCAAATCCAGCTATCTCACTACTTTTTAATGGCTAAATTGTGTCAACTAAGTTTCTACAGTCAGTTAGTGCTTATGACACCACGCGACAGCCCATCATTCTCCTTGACTTTACTCAAGGGACATCGGTATCAACCAATGTATTGCACTAATGTAGCCATCATTTCAACCATATCGGTATAAACCATACAATTTTCAAGATCTTTTGCCACTTACCTAAAATTCCCCCAGATCCGGGTATAGGGTCTATATAAGAAATAATCCCAAGCATATCCCAAAATATAAAGCATACAAGGTAAACAAGTAAAGCAATCAAGATGATCTAGCTTTTAAGGTAACCCCACTTTTAGTAAAATTTAATTCCCTAGAAGAGTCGCCAGTTCTGTAATACGATGGGAGAACTGACTTTTGGGTTTGTGTTTTAGCGCAAATATTACGGATAGCAAGAGTCGCCACCGACTTTTCTTTTATCCAATAAAGGAAAGGGTGAAAAGAACAGGAAAGATATTTTGAGAATTTTTTGAGTAAGGGGGTGGGTTATGAAAAGGGAAGGTGTTAGCACCCTTTTTATCCATAGTCATCTACGGGCTCTTAATCGCTAGCTCACTTTGAAGATGCTTTGTGTTTGTGTATGTTTGAAAATATTTTGAAAACGCTTTAGTACGACAATTTTGTAATGATTCTCGTATCGTTGAGAATTTATACAAAATGTTGGTTTTGAAAATATTTGTTTGGTGGAAAGATGTTTTGAAAATACCAATGTAAGGCAGTTTTTCTTTATAATAACCCTTGTATCATTCCTTAAGAGTGTTTATAAAGTATTTTGAAAGTAATTGTTTTTGAAAGTGTGAAGTGTGGAAATTGTTTTAGTTTGTGAACAAGCGATTACGAGCGATCTATATACTCAAAGGTCTTTGTTCTTTTTCTCCTCCTTTAGATAGCGCCATCCTACCATTAGTTAGTAGGAAGCCATGTCATTGGATGTGAGGGACAGGCGTGGGTCATCGTATAGTCATAGAAGGAAACTTGTAGGACGCTTTAGCAATTTTCATAAGGGACTAAGATCGTTTACCGAAGGCAGCATCGAAGGGTCATCGAGGAAATATGATCTTTTAACCGAGGATCTTTGCTAAAGCATCTCACGTTCGAGGGACATGACTGTTTATCCGACGTAACAAGTGAGGTTATCCTAGAGATGCGTGTGTGCGAATTGTTTTGATTTCAAGTATTTGTCTTTGAGATTAGGTTTTCTATTGCTTTTTAATCTTGTCATACAAACCTTAATTACTATCAATAATAAGGAAAGCAATAAATTGTGAAAATTAAATGTCCTATGCTATTACAATGCTTCAGGGATGGGGATACAAGTTTATGAATGGGGAAGGGAAGCAATAAACCCTAATTATCTATTACAAGCTTTGAGCAATTACAATATTGAAAAATATTAATGCGAAAGTAAAGTGTGCGAAGATGGTGAAAAGGGGAAATGTATTAAGAAACCCTAAAAGTATTTCTAAGTATTAAGAAAATAATTTATTATTTCTTTTAGAAAATATTTGAAATGAAAATTGGACCTAATTCTAATTAATTTACAAATTAACTATTTAAAATAAAATGAGGTGTGATTAAATTAATTAACTTTATTTATGAAAATTAAATTAATTAAAACCTAAATAATTCTAATTAAATAAAATCAAAATGATTAAATTAAATTAATTTTTATTTGTCAAAAATTAAATTAATTGATTAAAAAACCTAAATCTAATTTTTCATTATTTTTTATGTTTTTGTTGATTAAAATAAAATAAAATAAAATAAATAAATGTTAATTAAAATAAAATAAAGAAAATTGAAATGGGCCAGTAGTGTAAGCAAACTGGGGGTGAGAACGAAGTAAAAATATCCTAGCCCAACTCAAGGAGTTTTTTTTATCTGAAATAGAAAATAAAATATAAAAAATGTTAGATTGGGCATGCGTTTGAACAAGTAAAAATGGGGGTGAGAAGTAATGTTGTACCCCAAAATTTTCCCTCTCTTTTCTCAATACATTTCTCATAAACATCTTTAATAACTCAAGCTTGCACAAGTATTGACTAGGTCAAGCCATCTCTTAAACATTGATGCCTCAAATTAGGGTTTTGATTCTCACAAGGACAATTGGACTTCTAATGCCTCAAGTGACTTTCATGGATCATTATGGACCTCCAAGAATACTTATGTCAAGTTTCAAGACATGAATCACAATTTTGCTCATACAATTGCTCAGATGACTGAAAATCAACTGTATTGGGTAAAAAGTCAATTGTGGTCAACCTAATGTCAAAATTCATGGTTTTTTGGCCAACATCAACATATTAAAGTCCTGTTTATCTTTTGATCAAGTATTGATCATAATCTCTCAAGAAAATAACTCAATTTACCAAAAGGGCAAAATGGTCAAGGGTTTTGATTGTATTTGACTGATCAAGGGTTCTTAACCTAATGCATGATCTAATGACTTGAAGCACTATCTCAAGGATTCAAATAAAACATGTTGACCTAATTTCATGGCTCAACATTTCTCAAGATCAATTGATTGATAGTTAACACTACAAGAAAATTGGCAGATTGCGACAGGTATTTTTGTAGATCACGACGGTTAAAACCGTCGCAATTTGCTTTCCACGACGGTTGCTTTACCGTCGCAGAAGTGTGTGTCCCCAACCTATTTCGCGACGGTTACAAAAACTGTCGTTCAAGTTTACGACGGGTTGATACCGTCGTGACTATCTTTTGAGTTTCTTTTAATTATTGATGGCGACGGTTCGATACTGTCGTGAATATCTTTTGAAATTGATTAAATTGTTTATGGTGACGGTTCGATACCGTCATGACTTTTGTTGATTACGACGGTTTGGTACTGTCACCATGACTTTTGTTTATGTCTTGATTTTTTTTTATTTTTCTATTATATATATTTTTTATTTAAATTATTATCTATGTAAAAAATTTTAAATATAGTTTTTTTTTGTGTTATTTTTTTCTTTAAATTATTTCTTCTTTAATATATTTATTTATAGTATTATTTTTTGTTTTATTTTCTATCACTTTGTAATATAGTAAAAATAATTTCAATAAAAAATATTTAACATCAAATAAGCATTATAATATCCAAAAAAATGTGTGTTCCATAATCATGTAAAATGCGAGTTCCATAATCATGTCAAGTAGTACAAAAAAACCAAAATATATCAATTCCTAATCTTATAATAATAAGTATCATTATGCCAAAAATACATGAGAAAGTTCACAATCTAATTATCTCGATCATAGCAAAGTCTAATTTGTCCCCCCTGAAGTTCCATTATCTCCAATACGGTAGCTAGACTCAGATGAACGTCTACCATCAGCGGGTGATTCCAATCCCTAAAAAAATGTATTAAAATAATAATCTTTAAAATAATACTCATAAAATTTAACTTTAAATGCGTCAAAATAATATACCTGTCTTCCACTAAAATTCTTCAAAATAATACTCATAATGTTTACAAGAAGTTCAGTAAAGCTTGCTATCCACCATTCTTCAGTATAAACAAAATCACTCTAGGATATTTATTCTGAAATTTCCCACTAAAGTTACCCCACAGTTTTCAATGTTTCAAATATATGTCAAATGCAGCATAGGTGATTTTTCCATTACAACTTACGCTTCTAATCTATGCAGGTATGATGCCTCTTATTTCCTGTGTTCTACTGGTTGGTCTCTTTATTTTGCAACACCGTGGCTCCCACGTGATTGCTTTCATGTTTCCTCCCATAATCATCCTATGGTTACTATCTATTTTCACGATTGGCATTTACAATGTCATCAAGTGGAATCCAAGCATATATCGGGCTCTTTCTCCATATTATATATATAAATTCCAGTGGTGAGTTTTATTTGGGATGGTTCTATTACTATTACCGTTTTGGTGTTTTGTTTAATTGGATGTGAAATTTACATACCTGTAAAGTGAAGCTTGTGACTATAATTGCCACATCAAGAGAACCTGTCTCAATGAGGTTGAAGTTTTGGTCCATATTCACTCCCATTCCACAAGCAACAGTAACACATAGGGGAGCCTAAATTTTAATATTATATATGTGTCTTTATAATTCAAATAAAGACAACTATCCGAATATGTTTTAAATTGTAGTCTGCAACAACAATTGTAGCCGCAATATAAAGGACTGTGAGGATTCTGCAACGGTATCTCAGCTGCACTTCTCATAATATAAAGAGACATGCAGCGTAATCGTAAATGCAATTTAAAATCAAATTATCCATAAAGGTAAGAGTATATTTATTTACCACAAACATGGCAATTTGAGTAGCAGAGCCCAATGCAACACCTAAGGAAATGTCCTGCAGTCATGAAATTAGTTCAGCTTCACTTGAATATTGTTTTTTCCTTTCAATTCATCAACTTTATAGCTTGGAAAATATGAATTTAATCATATGTTAAATGAAAGGATTAAGTATGGAATTGAGTAACACTATAATATAAATTCTTACAAGCTTGTTCTTGAAAGCAAAAATGATTGCTCCAGCATGTTCAGCTGCATTGCCAACTACTGGAAGCAAGATTATGCTGAGGAAGCTCACTGATAAACCCCATGAATCTGATGCATCCTGTTAACAATAGTTTATGACACGCCTATAAGTTGTTTTAAGCTTATTTTAGTAAAAACTCTCTATAAGCTTAGCAAAACGATTTATAACTAATATAAAAACAGTTTAAACACATTTCATATTTGATTATAGGACCTTGTTTGGTAAACAGTTTAACTACACATTTAAAGCATAAATGCTTATCATATAAGTGTTTATGTATAAGTTACTTCTACAACAAAAGATAAAATAGCCAAAAAAAATTCGTATAAGCTATAAACTGTTTTTATAAAAGCTATCATGAAGAGCTTAGAAAAATAAGCTGAAAACAGCATGTGGACATATTGTAAGCTCTACCAAACAGCCTTACAATAAGTCAATCCAAACCTGCTCCTGACTTATGCATAACTGATTATGTGATACGCTCATTAAATAAGTGCTTAATTGAGCTGTTTATTCAAAAGAATTCCAAATTAGATCTAAGCAATTAAATTGAAATACCTCAATTGTATCGACCACGTATTCAGACAACAACACAGTGAACACGGTCATTCCAGCCAACCAAGCAAATCCACCCCAAAATCCAATCACAGCCTCTTCTGCCTCAATGTTCTCATCTCCGCCTTCCTGCTCAATTCTTTTTAATAAACTATAATTTCAACAATCAACAATTCAACGTTTTCATATATGGTTCAGTTAAGAAAACATACATCTTCAGCTTCAAATAGTTGCCTATGTGTCCATAGTTGAAAGATCAAGTAAACAAAATATGCAGCCAACATGACAATGCTAGCAGCTCTTGACAAGTAGAGTGAAGATTCTACGGTGAGTTCCGGTGATGCAGCACTGTATGTAAATAGCATTGGAAGCAAAAGACATAGCAATTGCCAGTATCAGCATCAGTGAGTTCACATCTGCTTGCCTCTGCAAAATTCAATACTTAACATTAGCATTAACTGAAGTTCGACTAGAAGATAAGTAAAGTCAAATTCAAAATTGCCAAGATCGAGTTATAGGAAACAATATTAGGCAAACCACCATCTGATATCATGTTATTTAAATACTCTATAGCCAAATTTACTTTTCCTTCTTTACAAATAGCAGAAATCAATGGATTGTAACAATAAGCATTAGGAGCCAACCCTCTCTTCTTCATACCCTTCAACACATTCTCAGCCTCGACAATTTTACCATCACGACAGATCAAACCTGAAAATCAGCTCCATATTTCTCAACTAGCCGACTAATATAAAGACGCTGAATCGAAGTCAAAGGTTGAGGAAGTGCACTTTTATAAAATTCCAAGTGCCGATTAGATAGTAGCATCCAATATTTACGTATGCCACAAATACTTGCCATCACATGATGCAATTAATCTTCAAAAGTTAATCTACTTCCGGGTTCACGAACTCATTCACTCCAAACTTCTTAGCTGTGAACAAGATTGATTATTACTAAAGTTAGTCCTTGAATTTATGTTGTTGACCAAAATCTTAAATCATTAGATGGAACACAGAAAGTGTTGTACCTAATTCAAATCGGCTGGAAACTAAATCAACTCCAATGATTCTTGATGCACCAGAGATCCTTGCACCTTCAGCAGCCTACATTATGGTTAAAAAAGAAGAGCAAAAATTAATATTGTCTCATTTCATTTCCAATCATAGCTGCAATGCAACACACACATGCATACAAAGATATAAGAGTAATAACATACAGCAAGGCCAACAACTCCAAGCCCAAAGATAGCAACTGAAGAACCTGGCTTTGGTTTTGCAACATTCACAGTAGCACCAAGACCTATAAGCATCAATGCAAATTGAATTAGGAAATCACAGACCAAGCCTGGTAATATATAAATATCTGAAGCTAGGGATCTTGTATATATATACCTGTGCATATTCCACAACTGAGAATACAAACTTTGTCAAGTGGTGCTTCAGGATTGATCTTTGCAACACATCCAGCATGAACCACTGTGTACTCACTGAATGTAGAGGTGCCCACGAAATGGTTTATGGGCTCTCCATTGATAGAGAATCTAGACTTGTTATCATTGAGCATGACACCTCTGTCAGTGTTGATCCTAAGAAGATCACACATGTTGCTCTCCTCTGACTTACAATGTGGACATTCACCACACTCCCCTGTGAATACAGGCAGGGCTTTATCCCCTGGTTGCAGATGAGTCACACCTTCACCTACGCTCTCCACGATCCTGATAAACATCATTCATTCACATTACATACTAAATTACTGATACACTAAATAATCAAGACATTTTATCAGAAGAGAAGCATATACCCTCCAGCTTCATGACCAAAAATACGAGGAAACAATGGAGTCTGACCCTGAAACAGTGGCAAAAAAGAGAAAACCATGTTAAGCTATTGCGATTCATAACAACATACAGAAAAAAAACACACTATTTTCTTAACTGTACGACCAACTTCAGAACCATCAGATTCATCCAGTTGCAGCTGATTGTGTTCGACCACAGTGTTATCCCATTGCTTTCTGTAGTGATTGTCCATGTAGAAGTTTCTTAGCATCTCGGCGGAAATATCATTGAACACAGTCATACTCCAATATTTCAGGGGACCATTCTGCAACATCCAAGGACAACAAGTTCTTCAGCGGGTGTCTAGTTAAAGTATTAGTTTTTCATGTCTTAGATAGTTGAAAAGAAGCAGGAAAGGTATGAGCGATAGTGAGTGGAGAGTTTAACCAAATACATTAATACTAAAAAAATAAAAGTTATTTATAATAATGTTCAGCTACTTTTCTTATATATCACTCTCATAACAATAACTCACCATCCCAAAAATGAAAATCCACTTCATCTTCTTGTTCTTCTCACTCTCTTTTTTCCATGTAAGAAACACTCCACAAAAATGCATAATAGTCATATACTAGTACATATTTACTTCAGTAATCTGCATTATATATTTACTTTCCTTTGCTAAGTTTGTTATTTTCCTACATGTAAATTATGTCTTACTAATTTTGTATGAATGCAGGGTTTTATAGCAACCATTGGCAGCAAGGAAATCACTGAAACACAAGAATATTCATTCAAACTAAAGACAAACCCTTTCAGCCCCAAAGCCTCACTCATTCGTCATTGGAACACAAGAATCTCTAACAACCTTCCAAATTCAATCCCTAATTTCTTTCTCTCTAAAGCTTCCCCTCTCACACCACAACACTACGCCAACTTAGTAAATCTCCTTAAACAAAAGCCCTTATCTGCAAATTTCCATAATTCCCTCTGCTCCACACCATACTTATTCTGCTCCTTCGACCACCCAAACCAATATTACCAATCCAAAAAAAACACCAAAGATGATGCCAACTTCGCAGTCTACTCAAACAAAAAATTCGCAGCTTATGGATATCTTCTGAAATATGTGCATACAGAAACACAACGCATATTGCGGTCACTGTAATCATACTGCAACATATCTTTGTTAGAATCAGCTTAGTAACTGATGGTAGATTAGACCTCTAGAAATAATGCGGTCACTGTAATCGTTCATTCATTTTCCATATAATACAAATCCGAAAATTGATGAAAAGGTTTACAAAGTTCCACTTCTCTCTGTTTTCTCAATCATCTCCTTCGGATCATTCAATTATCATTCTGTCTCCAATACTATTTTCTCAATAAATCCAGCAGACTAAGATAGTGTTTCATTATGTTCATAGGTAGGACGACATGATTTCAATGAGGATTACATAGTTTCCTTTGAAAAAGTAAAGATAATACATATCAGGAAAATCTACATAATCATCCCTTAAAGTTCGCACAAATTTAGTACGAAATGTAAAATAGAACTCACCCTTCCAGGTTCTTAGCCTCACAGAAACTTCTGAAGGCAGCACAAATATTTGTAACTTTAGCAGCACCAACACTGAAACAAACAATTCACAAATAATAAAATAAGAAGAAGAATAACACAAAAAAATATATTTCTTCAAGCTATAGCAGTAATACACTAAAGATATAATCGAAAACAAATACAACATCAAGTATACCCATAGATGATGATTTGTTTTATCTATGACATCCTCCCATTTATGGTTCTGATTTAGAATTTCATCCATTAAAAACTTCAAATCAGCATCAGTGACAGTGTTTGAGGTTCTGCAATTGTAAACCCTAAAAAGCCCCAATTTCAGTAAAGCGTATGAAATTGAACGAAAATAAAATGAATAAAGTAGAGTAGTAGACCTTGGGTTTAAATTGCTAGAATCGGAGATCAAAGAGGACGCCAACAGGGATCTGCTCTTACGGTTCAGAAGAAACAATAAAGTAACAACAACAAGAAGAAGAAGAAGAATAGCGCAGCCACCATAGAAGTTGCTCAAATTTAAAGGGAAGCCATCGAAGCTTCTTAAGGTTCTCATCGAATTGATGTGGTTGAAGTTTGTACAGAGAAAAAGCAAAAGTATGAAGAAATTTGGAGAAAGATACGTGAACAATAAATAAAAAGAGAAATAGACGAAGCGGGGTAAAGGATTTAGGGGGACGACGGGTGTGGTTACCGTCGTGCCCTTTCATAACTTTTGCATGTTTTTTAAAGGTTTAGGGGGGCGACGGTTGTTTTACCGTCGTGATGTCTATTTTAGGACGGTTTCTTAACCGTCGCAACATTCATTTTAGGGCGGTAGGTGTATACCGTCGTGACATGGGTCCCTATATTAGAATTACGACGGTTATTAAGTAACTGTCGCAATTTTTGTGTCGTAAAATCCTAATTTTCTTGTAGTGTAAAATCTAGTCAACTGATGAAAAGTCAACTGATACACCAAAAGTCAAACTTTGACTTTTTTGATCAAAATTGAGTTTCAAAGATCATAATTTATCAAGACATTCAAATATATGAAGCTTGATCATCAAGAAATCAAGAAAGTCAAAAGTCAATTTGAAAATTCAACTTTTCAAGACTTAGAAAAATTTCTAAGTGTTTTTTAAACATGATAATTTCATAACTTCATGACATTTTTTCACCAAGATGCAAGATGATTCAAACAAAACTTTCAACATGAAAGTTGTAGATCTTGATGAGATCTAGAAATTTTATTTACTAATCAAGTATTATAAGTGCTTGGATTTTGAGTTATAAATTCATGAAGTCATGCACTTTTTCTAAAAAACACTTAGTGAAATTTTGACTTAGTTTGGTCAGGATTTTGACCTAACTTCTTGGCCAATTTTCACATAGTTCCAATTTGATTTAGCAAAAATTGTAAACATGAAGGTTGTAGAGGATGTTTCAAGCTTTCAAAAATGTCAATGAACTTGAAAAGATCATACTTGATCTAGAAGTTTCCAAGACTTAAAGTTGGCATGTCATTCTTGAATTTCAAGTCATTTTTATGAAGAACTCAAGACCAAATCTCATAACCTTATCATCCAATCCCACTTTTCAGACCATGCTACTTCTAAATCTCCACATAATTAGAGATTTACACAAATTTGTGATGCATTACACAAATATTTAAGGCTTTATCCACTTGGTTATATCATTTTTGGATGAAATTGCAAAAAGCTCCATATCCATTTTCATAAAGATCACTTTAATCACAAAGTCAGCTTCTTGAGCTCCCAAAATTGTTTCATCTAAACACAAGCAAAGTCAAAACCAGAAGCAACGGGTCTAAGGCCTCTAACAACTTCAGACCATGTTTGTACAACATATTGAAACTTTTTTTCAACTTTTTTTTCAAAATCAAGTAACATAGCCATAACTCTATATCTCATAGATATGTCAACTTAAAACCCTAAGACCTTTTGCTTATAAATATAAAAGGTAATTGCAAGAAAATACACTAGTTTACAAGCCCTAAAACACCCACAAGCATGCACAAGTCAGAAATGGCCAAAAACTCCATTTTTGAGCTTTAAACTTGAAACTCAAAATCCACTCGTGCGTATTGACTTTTAATCATCCAAACCCTTTACATACCTCATACACAAGTGATCTAAGACCCCATTTCCTGACTGTAATCACTCCATACCCATCCACCATTTTCAAAACTGAAGCTTACAACTTGACTTGAGTAGGGAGTTTCAGCCATCCTCAAAGCAAAGTAGGAGTTGGAATACACTCAAGGAGGTCCAAGCAAGCTAAATAGATTCTTAGGACACCTCAAAGCTTGCTCAAAGTCCATACACGAATCCATTTGCAAGAGGTAAGTTTTCTAACTTCAATATCTTGAT